CACACACACACACACAACACAAACCGGAAGTGAGCTTAACAGGGGTCCAGCAATAGCTGATCTGAATTCGGTCAAATAATGTTGAAACTTACTGGCACATTCGAAGGTCCCGTTGGTACATGCTGCCGGGACGTGTGAGAAAATCGAGCATTCTGTCGCTGTGAGGAGGCAAGCTTGGAGAAGCTGGTCAAGCGACGGATGCAAAGTGATTTGCAAATCACGCAAAGGGATAATTAACGCCTAACCTGAGAGACAGTGCGGGCAAGTCGTCAAGTCAGAAGAAGCCCACGTCTTTCGGTATGAATGATGAGCACACATTCTCCTGACCGGCAATCGCCAAATTCGTCTTCTCACCTCATTTGGAAGGACGAGAACGACGTGAAAGCCCTCTTTATCAGGGCCTGAAATCAGCCCAAATCAGTCTGATTATCAGTTTTTGCAACGAAATGCAACTTAGAACTAAAGTCTAAAGACTGGCCATGCGTAGAACTGGGCGATAATGTGGTAGAACCACCTTAACGGCAAGCAGTTCGGTACCGGACCTACCACAAACTAACCCTCACCGATTTTGGGCTGCATATGTGCAAACAAATACACTTTGGAAGATGATCCTATTAAAAAACTCCATTACTCAATGCTTTACAAAGCCCAACATTAGTTTTCAAACTATTTCGGAAATAAAAACTCGACTTTTATCCCCACTTCACCCATAATACTCAACTTCAAAGGTTTATCTGCTGGAGGGCATCTGATTGCCTGCATCAGTAGTACTGAAGAGTATATAAGTAGAGGGAAAGTTGAGTTAATATGAAAGGCTTCCTACACTCACGACACCTAAAATATTATATCCTTCTGATTGACAAGTTACTATTGTCGGCTCCTGCAACTTGTATGGTTTTTAGTCATTTTTTAGAGTCACTTCATATGATTGTGGATTGGAAGTGAACAGGAAAGTCATCTATTTGTTGAACTCTACCCAATCCTCGAAGATATGCAAACCAAGATGGTGTGACCTCCGAAAGAGTGGTATTCTCCTTTCCGTTTATACAAGTGGGTTGACCTCATTTTCGCAACTTGGTCTCGTTGTCTGATGCAGAGGAGTTTGGACAAAGTGCGCTCTTCCACGTCGCCCTGACAACAAGACCAAGTTGCGAGAACGAGGCGAAGCCACTTCTAACCAGTCCTGTTTGAATGGTTGGGTCGGATTGCAATCAACGCCCAACAAAGACGTTGCTCAGTCACAAACACACACACACACTGACGCAATGTGGTTGGCCCACTGATGCGGCCGGATGGGCAAAAGGACCGTGAATCGCGGCTCGTTCCAGCTCGAGGTCAAAGAGGAAGAGATGGCGGAACTACTTTTCCAGGTCAGGCGTCTGGTCTCGTGAATGTGTGCCAAGAAAGCGCTTGTGTGAAGTGTTTGTGGTATTTGTGTGCTTTTGATTTTTTTGTCGGCAGATTAGTTGTACACACTCTTCGGAGTGGGGAAAGCTCAACTTTAGTTAAGACATCATTTGCCTCGATCCTAAACACTCATCCCCCGTTGGGGCTGATTGAAACCCTCCGGGGATACAGCATGTTTCCCGTTCATAGGCAGAGTTTCGAGACTACCAGAAAATTAAATAGATTAGTTGTGTTCACGCTATTTCGTGCACAATAGGCGAGAACACCTTATGGGAAAGGGAGGTTATGTGAAAGTCAGCTCCACTGGCATGATTGTGGGAAAATTGACCTACCAGTCCTTCATCACTTGAAACGGAATAGGGTGAAGACATTTCATACAGCCCGTTTCTATCCATAACCGCCTCCTGCTGACGGCCTATTCTGACGCCTACAGAGTGTGTTTCATACAAGAGTTTAGGCGCATGCTCTGTTCACTGAAATGCGGACAATTCAGCCCTTGCCAGGCGGAAGCAAATCGGACATAAAGTCTTTCTGGGACGCGATTTCAACCGGACCAGGTGCGAGACTGCTCCCACAACGGGTTCGAGGTATCTACACCAACTGGGACGTGGTATGCGCACGACCGGGTCGCGAGAACAAGGTGAAACCAACACCATCTCATGAACTGGACGACTATTATTCTACGCTTGTCCCACTTGCTTACACAAACAAACGGCTGCCTCCTCACCCTGCATCACACGCATTCTTGCTCTTGAAAGGTTGACGCATGCAATTGCAGTCAATTGTACGTGTGTTGTGCGCATGCACTGCTCATGAGTCTTGTGAGGTGTGAAAGTGCCAGCCTGACCCGAGGCTAATCAGGTCTCCTCTTGTTGCTGGGACGTACGTCTCCCTCTCCCCATCTCTTTCTCTCTCCTGCCCTATGAGCTTATCCAACAGTCACAACCAATTTCCGTGCAATTTCATACAATCTCGCCCTCTATTCAGTTTTTGGGTTGTTGTGGCGCTTTAAACTTTCGTCTGTGTGTTGAAACTTCGTGATTGAACAAAAACTGGGTTTAGAGAAAACGCTTGGATTATACTTATTACTAATACTATTAGGAACTGTTTATGCTCAATTGATAGACTAGATAGATAGAGGAGTTGAGCTGACTAGTCTTATGTTAGTATTAGTGCTAATCACGAGCACACTTTCTGTATGTCATAGTTTACTCTGTCTCGCAAACGCACACGTAGACAAAAAGTCAACTTAACCAGACGCGTGTCCGACATTACACAATCGGACTGATGGGTAGAATATGAAAAGGAGGGTGGTGGTGATCAGATATTGCGTTCTGTTTCGTACATACACACTCATGTGAAGCCACATAAGCACACAAGCAGACACACGTACATGCTTCAAGATTGGCACATGACTTGAACTAAGCAAGTCCCTTTATAACTCATATATATCTGTATGTCTGTCTGTCTGTCTGTCTGTCTGTCTGTCTGTCTGTCT